CTTAAGTAATTTGGGAGGGGGGGGGGGAGCTCTAAGCTAACAATCTTTTCAAAAACGAAGCGGGCATCAGAATCGCCAGAAGGCCGATCACCAAGCGCAGCAACACTCAAAATTCATATTTTTCCTAAATTGTAGAGGAAGTAAAAGTAATTTTTTGGAACAAAGAATGAAAGCAACAAACCTGTGATTCGTTGCCGAACATGCGCCATTTACCAGCAATCAGATTGTAATGAATGAAACCACGAGCACCCGCAACCACAAGCCATTGACCACGCTCGTCTACTTCCACTAACTGGAAAAATACTGGAAATTCAACGATAAAGAGAGCGAAAAACTTAATTTCTGCAGATCAGAACAAAATGTTTTTCCCGGCAGATGTTCCGAGCTAAAAGAACGAAGACGGAGTACCACGATCGTAGGAAAGCATTACCTAAAACCAGCTTTCAAGCTCTTTCGGCTCTCGAATTGGTAACTTGCCCCAAAAAACTTTCACGGGACCGTACATGGGAGCTACGCATGCCTGTAAGGTGGGTTTGGGCTCATCAAGTCCTACGAGGAGGAGGAACATTCTCGCAAAATTTCAGCATCCCAACTCTTCAGGTTCTCGAGTTGGCAACTTGCCCAAAAAAACTCTCGCCAGCCCATACCCGGGGGCCGTCCCACAACTGGAGGCCGGGTTTGAAGTCATTAAGTCCTACATAGAGGAGGAACATTTCCGCAAAATTTCAGCCTTCTAGCTCTTCAGATACCTGAGATAGCTACATATTCCCAAAAAAATTTCATGGGCCCGTATGTGGGAACTACGACATATGGAGGTGAAGTTTGGACTCATCAATTCCTGAGTAAAGGGGGAACATTCCTGCAAAATTCCAGCTTCCTAGCTCTTCAGGTTCCCGAGCTGGTAACTTGCCCGAAAAAACTTTCGCCGACAAATACGTGGGGACTACTCCATATCTGGAGGCCGGGTTTCAACTCATCAATTCCTACGTGGACGGACAGCGTTCTCGCAAAACTCCAGCCTTCTAATTCTTCCGGTTCCCGAGTTAGTAACTTACCCTCAAAAAACTTTCAGGAGCCCATACGCGAGAACCAGGCATATCTGGAAGTTAGAACCAGGCACCAAGCATATCTGGAGGTTTGAACATAACACATATCATGATGAATTACGGGAAATACGCAAAACTTGCCCGGATAGGCCAATTTGCTGAGAGATAGTTTGCTGGTACCGAAAGTACATGCCAGATACTGTGCGGTGCGCTGACACTTTGCTCACGTTCTTTTGCTGCACTCAAATAGATTTGATTATCTGATAAAAAG